GGGGGGGGGGGGAGGATGCAGCACCCCTTTGGAAGAGCTCTGGGAATCCCCTTCTCTGAACGTCATGGGGAAGGCACCAAGGTAGAGACCAGGAGGTGACGAGTTCTAATCCCCCCCCCTTAGGCATGAAAGCTGGCTACTGGGTCAATTCCGCTCTCAGCCCAACTCCCCTCATGGGATATTGTGGGGAAATGTGTGTGGGGGGGGGAGGCATTACATGTGCTTTCCACATTGAGTCATCTATAAAAACAATAAAGATGGAGGGAAAAAGACAAATGTGGTTTTTCTGCTTATTTTACATTTGATGTAGAATTGCCTATTAATCTTCCGATGCCATTTACCACTATTTGCAGAGGAACGTCGGGTGAAAGAGAGAAAACAGAAAGCCCTTGTACAATCTTTAGTCACTTATGCACATTGAATAGCATGCCCACAATAATAATAATAACAACAACAACAACAACATAATAACGGCCCACCTAATAATCAGCAATAAAAGCTCCCAACAGAGGCAACAGAGAATAATTTTGCTTCCAATTACCTAATTACCTTCCAGCAAGAAACGGTTTTGATAACCAAGAAATTGACTGGATTGCTATAGGTTTAAGTTGCTCCTCCACCAGCCTGCACAGAGTAACACAGCGGCTGAGGTCTGTCTAGATGCCCTCTAGCCCTCCCATCAGACGTTTAAAAAGATGCCAACTTGGCCAGGGAGGAGACTTTGTGGGGGGGAGGCAGCACCCCTTAGAGGAGCTCTGGGAATCCTCTTCCAGCTTTTCCCTCTCAGCCTGTGGAGCCCCCTCTGAGCCAGAGGGGTCACTCTTCCCCCCCCCCCCCAGGCAGCCAACTGGGCCCAGCTGTCTGTCCGCCCTCCCTCCCTGCCCCCTTGCCTTGCCTTGGTGCCCCAGGGGGGCTGGTTCTGGTGGGCCTTCAGCTGCTGAGAGAGGGCCTTCCGAAGGCTCTTTTCTTTGATCCCTTGCAACAGCGAGGGAGGCAGGAAAGGCTCCAGGCCCCATTCTTTCCTAGCAGGAGGGAGAGAGGGCTGGTGAGGCAGGTCAGGTGGGCTTCCTGCCTTTCCCCCTGGGATCCCTGGGCTAAACGGGGCAGCCCAGGACCCTCTGGCTCCTTTGGGGCATGGGGCGTCTACTACCAGGGAGGCAGGAAGGGCAAATAGTCAGCAAAGAGCCAGGTTCTGGGGTCAGAGGAGGCTCAAAGCCTTGTTAGAACATCCATGCGAAGGTCAGCTCAGCGTCTGCCCGGGGGGGGGGGGGGGACGGACTCAGAAGGGGCTTGGATGGGGATGGGGTGGAGGAGGGAGGAAACTCCTGTGGCTTTGGCTGCTGAACCTACTCCACGTTTTTGAGGGAGACTTTCTGGCTGGGCCGTGTGGCTGAAACGGTGATGTAAATGTGCAGGGCGGTCAGGCCGAACAGCATTTCTGGCTTGGGCTCCATCCCAAATCGCTCCCTGATCACATCGTTGCGACTCTGGGGGAAAAAGAGAGAGGCTGCTCAGAAGAGCTGCTTCCATGCGTCCCCCCCTCCCAGAAGGCCCTGCCCGGGTCTTTGCAATCCCTCTGGGAGCGCCGCGGTGCACATGGCTGGGCTTCCGGGGGCGGCTGGCTCGTGGTTGCAGGCCCCCCCCCCCACCGGGGCTAATGCAGAAAGAGGGCCCACCCCTCTGCTGCGAAGCAAGGGGGGAAACCATTGTCTTTTGACAATGGAAGCGCTGATTCATCCAAATGTTATTAATATGGGAAATATTCTGAGATACGAAGACATTTTGAACGAAAAGGGGGAGCTCAAAAGTAAAGAACACGCCAGGAATTGATATGGAGGGAGGGAAGCAAGGAGGGAAGGAAGGAGGGAAGAAAGGAGGGAAGGAAGGAGGGAATGTAGGAGAGAAGGAAGGGGGGAAGGAAGGAGGAAAGGAAGGAGAAAAAGGGAAGGAAGGAGAGGAGGGAAGGAAGGAGGGAATGTAGGAGAGAAGGAAGGGGGGAATGTAGGCGAGAAGGAAGGGGGGAAGGAAGGAGGAAAGGAAGGGGGAAAGGAAGGAGAAAAAGGGAAGGAAGGAGGGAAGGAAGGAGAGAAGGAGAAAAAGGGAAGGAGGGAGGGAAGGAAGGGGAATAGGAGAGAAGAAATGAGGGAAGGAAAGAGGGAGGGAGGGAAGAAGAAGTAGGACCGTTGTAAGATAAGATGGATCTATGGGATGTTAAGAAAGCAATCTTCAAGTATATTGTCAACTGTAGGGAAAAATTGTTATAAATACATATTATTAATAACAGTTATGAGATCATATAATTGTGAATGTATATATGAAATTGATAAATGATATGGTTTCGGTATACACAGCTGCAAATACGGGTAGGCAAGGAAGCCCTGTGCCTGGGCCTCTCCTCCCCCCCGCTTCCCTGGCTCACCTGGATATACAGGTACTCAAAGGCTGCGGGGTCCCTTCGCAGCAGCTCCACGGGGTCTTTGGGGAAGAAACTGACGCGGAAGAGGCATCGCATTCCTTGGTAGTGGGTCCTCTGCACCACCTGTGGGGAAACAGAAGGGAGCCTCCCTGCAAACCCTCGGCCTCTTGGCACACGGGGGATCCCTTTTCTAAGCAGGATGGAGGGCATCCTATGCCTCCCTGAAGACTCTGAGCCTGAGAGCGCCAGCTTCCAGCCCCCTTCTTTTGCAGGATCGCCTTACAAAAACCTCCCCAGAACTGGACGTCTTCCAGAGCAGCTTTCCAACAGCCATCTTGGCTTGAAAAGCCTCAATGATGGAGTTTCCACGACTCCAGAAGGTGATCTGTCCTCAATAGCCAGGAAATCGCTCCATATTCCAAGCTGGGATCGCTCTCTGGAAAGCTCCTGGCTGGTGGCTGGTTGTGCTTTTACCCTACAGAGGATAAATCCCCCACTCCTTTTCCTCGTGGGAGCTTGGAGAGCTGGTGGTATTTGTGCTTTTGGCCTTCTTTGGGCAAGCTGAACGTATCCAGTTTGTAGCATCTAGTTTTGCTGCTCTTCTCTGTTCTCCCAATTCCTCCTCATCTCTCCCGTGTTTGGCGCAACAGAACTGGGCACCCTATTCCTGGTGTGGTTGACCAGTGGTGACATCATCTCAGCATCCCTACCTCGGCCGCTGCAGCCTAGCACCGCACTGGCTCTTCGGGCAGCTCAAGCACACTGCTGGCTTGCACATTAAAATGGAGCTGTGAGCCTTGTCTTCTGAGGTGCGAGCATTCCCCACCCTCCCTTGTGTTATCTGCAGCCCCCTCTGTCCCCCTCCCGCAAGCCATGCCAGGAGCAGAGCAGGCAGCCCTTCCCAGGGGAGGCCCAATTCCTGCTGCAGAGAGAATGAATTGGGGGGGCTTACGTGGGCCAGGGGCTGCTTGTCCTGCAGGAGAAGGAACTTGTGACTCTGTTCAGGGCTGGAGTATTCCAGGACGAGGGAGAAATGCTCGATCTGCCTCAGGGACAGCCGGTCCTGGAGGGTCGTCATCACATCCTGGAGAGAGAGACAGACAGAGAGACAGAGAGAGAAACAGGGAGAGACAGAGAGAGAGAAAGAGAGACACAGAGACAGAGAGAGAAACGGAGAGAGAGACAGAGACAGAGGGGAGAGAGAGAAAGGGAGACAGAGAGAGAGAGACAGAGACCGAGATACAGAGAGAGACAGAGAGAGAGAGAGAGAGAGAGAGAGAGAGCGAGATACAGAGAAAGACAGAGACCAAGATACAGAGAGAGACAGAGACACAGAGACAGAGACAGACAGACACAGAGACAGAGAGAGAGAAAGAGAGACACAGAGACAGAGAGAGAAACGGAGAGAGAGACAGAGACAGAGGGGAGAGAGAGAAAGGGAGACACAGAGAGAGAGACAGAGACCGAGATACAGAGAGAGACAGAGAGAGAGAGAGAGAGAGAGAGAGAGACCGAGATACAGAGAAAGACAGAGACCAAGATACAGAGAGAGACAGAGACACAGAGACAGAGACAGACAGACACAGAGACAGAGAGAGAGAAAGAGAGACAGAGAGAGAGAGAGAGACAGAGAGAGAGACAGGGAGAGAGAGAAAGGGAGACAGAGAGAGAGAGACAGATAG